CTCCGGCTTCAGCCGCGACTGTCGCTGCTCCGATTGGCGAGGAGGCTACAAAAAGCACACCCCTGGCTGGCAAACTCTTTTCCTTCGCCGGTCTTGATTGGTGGGAGGCGTCCTAAATCCCGCCTCCCAGTCGCCTGTGTGGGTCTTCCCCCTCCCGCCTCCACGCCTCTTCAGCTGCCTGTCCCGGCTTGGTTCCCCGGCAAGTGGGGGCTCTTTCTCGCGCCCGTGGAGGCGCGCGCGCTTCACCATTCAATCCCTCGAGCGAGAGGCCGTGTTTTCCTCGCTCTTTCGTGCACACGATTCTAGGCGACTTGACCCTGGGAGAGCGAGCACGCGCACCTTCTACCCCCTTCCGCTCCTCTTCCCCTCGCGCTCGGAGCGGAGTCCCGCGAGTGGCCGCCGCGGATTACGCCTTCATCTCGCGCCTACGTGTCTCGCTCCCTCCCCCTGTGACCTCACTGCGTACTATTACACCCGTCCTGTCCGTTTCCATAGCGACGAGAGGGCCCGAACGCTGGCCTACTTGACGTCCCTTCGTCAGGCTTTTGGAGTGAGAAGGAAGTTGTTGCGGTCTCGGTTGCCTCCTTACCCCTCGCCTCGGTGGCTGGGTGGGCGGGCTTCTACGTGTTTGGATTGTCCCCTTGAAGCGCTTTGAGGCTCCTAGAAGTTTTGAACATGCTTTTTTTCTGTGGGGGGAGGGGGACTAACTCTTCCCTCAACGTTGGACTCCTAGGTTTCCACGTGACCCGTTTCTGTTCTTTTATTTTTGTTTTTATATTTCCTATGCTAGAAATTGGCATTTCGATTCGAAGGAGGGTGAGAGGGTCATGGATCAGAGATCAAGGTTTCTCTTTGGACGCTTTATGGTACACTCTGTGGACATTTTGCAACACCTTCCTCCTGAGGGGAGCCTGGCCTCTTTGTCACTGACATTTCGCAAGTCTGTGAAAACAGTTTTATTTCGGTGGGCTTTCAAAGATAATGTTGACTGAGCTGCCCCTCTTTTCTTTGATATATATAGAAAGAGGAAACTTTGTGCTGAGGGTTGTGTTTTATTGTATGGGCTTTTATGGTTTTGTAGACTGGTAATAATGGGTGGTATAAAATATTAATAAAACAAAGTTCTTGGGCTTCATCTCAGGTGCAGAGTTCTTTAGTGATAATTCACAGATGTCTGTAGCAGGCTGCAATAATGTCAAAATCATGACATGTCATCACATAAATTACACAGATACAGTGGGGCAAAAAAGTATTTAGTCAGCCACCAATTGTGCAAGTTCTCCCACTTAAAAAGATGAGAGAGGCCTGT